GTTTCATTTCCTGGGAGAGTCCATGCACTGGACAATTCCTGTGGATATGGACATGGCTTTCTTCAATAGATCAGCCAGGGCTAAAACATCGAAAAGCTTCTTCTTGTGCGAAAGCCCCTGAGAATTGTTTGTGTGACCGGAGACGTCTAGGGCTCCTCCTTATGTTGCACCCTTCTTGCTTTGTGTCACTGGTCAGCACTGTCTCTAGTGGGTTGCGTGGGGATGTCTCGATTTTCTCCATAGCTTTGGAAATATGTGGGAAAGACCATAGCCATAAGAAAATGAACTTCTTCTCGTTGATCTCTGTCGTACTGCTTTGTCATTGCAAAACGCTTTATGGTGAGGTTGATCTCTGTCGTCCTACTTTCCTAGGGCTCAGTCCAACCCCACCGGAAATTGAAAGACGATGTGCGAACACTCATCAGATGTGATTCTGAGCTGACAGGAAGACATCAGCGGTAAGCCTCTTGAGGTCTCAGGGGATTTATGCCTGGGGAGTGACATTTCTCGGGTCAATGTTGACACCGAAACTTGTCTTGAAGACAGGTGATGACATAAAAGTCATGCTCAATAGGATTACGCTGAGGCCCAGAAAAAAACCTCCTTTTGCTCAAGCTTATTTATCTTCGTTAAAGTGGACCCCCGTTTGGATGACTCTCACCTCCACAAGTGATCAAAACACCTAACGGACTGCTGATTGTCAGGCTCATTCCTTGCCTTTTGCCTCTTTATTATGATTTAGAAAGACGTGCTGCCCAGATACTCGCCATTCCAAAACATCCAGGTGAGTGATTCACGCGGTTTCAGCTGATCCCCTACTACACTTGGACAACAGAAATGGTGGCCCAAACGCATGTGGGGTTTTGCAAAAAGCTGAGACGTGTCCCCTGGTTTTCTCTTGACCACAACTGGTTGACTAATTGGCTGTGATATTCCTGGTGAATATTGAGAATTCCCAGGAACTTGGAACAATTTCCACTTGAGGAATTTTCAAGAGCCTGGCTCCCAGTGGCACATGTTATGTTGAACTGGTAGAAATGCACAAGTAGCCAAAATTTTTTTGTTTTACATTTTGATAGAATAGCAATCGCTATGGGCTCTCCCGCGACCCTAGTAACTTCCTCTAATTTAAAGTCTGTGTCAATTACCGCTGGACCCTCAGGTTCCACGGGGCGGGTTTTCCCAGGAATTTTGGAATTGAATGAACGAATGAGTAGTCTGATAGCTGGTTCTTCCTTTTAAGAAAAGGTAGCTGCGCATATCTGCATCCAGATTTGAACTTCAGCGTTGATGCCAGTGGTTAAGAAAGGTGTCAGGGTCTTGACTGCTTTTAGGTGCATACCACAGAAATTCATCATCACCTTAATGTCCTTAAAGGGAATTTTGGCATAACCGCTGCCTTCTACGTGTGGCAAGATCATTGTTCTTGATAATTGGTTGGAAGCCTGTAGAGTTGTCATAAGACTGGTGCTCTGTGTTGTATCCCTAGGGTTCCACTGATGATTGGAAAACTGGGGTAGCTGGGTTCCTTCTGTTGTGATTTTCTCAGTATGAGGTGAAGTGGGTCTGTGCATGGGTGAAGTGTGACAACCAAGAGTAATGGGACTATGGGAGTTAATAGAAGAAGTATTGGCACCGTCCTTGGAAACAAATAGATTTGTCGAGTGTCCTGCCTTTGGACTTGTAGATCCCCAGCTTTGCTGGAAACTTGGGTGTCATTGCTGGGAGATTCCATGCGCTGGACAATGGCTGTGGATATGGTCATGGCATTCTTCAACAGATCAGCCAGGGCAAAACATTGGAAAAGCATCTTCTTGCTCAAAATCCCGTGAGAATTGGCTGTGCGACCAGAGACATCTAGGGCTCCTCCTTACGTTGCATGCTACTTGCTTTCTGTCAAGGGTCAGCGGTGTCTCTACTGGTTTGCATGTGGGTTTCTCCATTGTATCCATAGCTTTGGGAATATGTGGGAAAGACCATAGCCGTAAGAAGATGAACTTCACCTCGTTGAACTCTGTCTTACTGCTTTGTCCTTGCAAAACGTTTTGTGGTGAGGTCGATCTCCATTGTCTTGCTTTCATAGGGGTCAGTCCACCAACACCGGAAACTGGAAGACGATGTGTGAACACTCGTCGGGTGTGATTCTGAGCTGACAGGAATGCACCGGTGGAATGCTTCTTGAGGTCTCAGGGGATTTTTACCTGGAGAGTGACATTTCTCGGGTCAATGATGACACCTAAACTCGTCTTGAAGACAGATGATGACATAAAAATCATGCTCAATAGGATTACGCTGAGGCCCAGAGGAAACCTCCTTTAGGCCAACCTTATTTATCTCGGTCCAAGTGGACCCCCATTTGGATGCCTTCCACCTCCACCAGTGAGCAAAAGCCCTAAGTGACTGACGACTGTCCGGCTCATTCCTTGGCTGTTTTCCTGTCTTTTTGATTTAGAAAGACCTGCTGCTCAGAAACTCAGCATTTCAAGGCATCAAGGTGAGTGATTTAACGTGCTTCTGCCTGATCCCCTACTACCCTCGGACAAGAAA